GTTGGTACCTCAAGGGCGCCGGCCTGCAGAACAAGCGGCAACTCCTTGTCATCGGGAACATGTAGTGCATGTACAGCCAGTCATACCCTTCGTCAAGAAGTCGTCTAAAACTGGTATACCCTGTGAAACAGTGAAATAGAGTAAGTTGCCCAACCATTTACCAACGACTCGAGGTGGCCCACAGCTTGTGGCCACAGGCTGGGACGGGGCTCGTGACAGAGGGCTTTGGGGCTGAGTTTTTAGGGCTACATAAGGGGTTTGGGCGGTTTGGCTTTCTTTGGGGCTTAAAGGGTCTATTGGGTCACAATTTTCACAGTCTGAGCTTATGGATTCAGACTTCAATTCTTCTGGCTATGGCTGCCCTAAGGCCTAAACATAGTACAAAAACCTCATGTGGTATGGTCTTTGAGCCCAAAAAAGTCCTAAGCTGTGACGTCTCAGAGCCTTTGGGGCAAGGCTGGAGCACCAGAAGCTGTAAACCCTCCCCTAAACCCTACACTGAGGCCCCTAGGACATACTGCAGTCCTTCAGCCTCCCCATGGACCTTGGCCTACCAAAACCTAGAGTTTACGGTTGAGGGTTTTCTGGGGTTTGGGTTCAGGATTTCGGATTTCATGGGGTTGGGGGGGCTTCAGGTTTTGGGGCTTGAAAAGGGCTTTATGGTGCTTGGGGAGTGTACGGGGCTTGAACAATCTCTTATGACAGCCTAAATGTACTTAAAGGATCATGGGACTTGGTAAGTAGGGTTATAATTAAGATAACTGTACTTATAACCCCGATTCAGGGGACTTATAACCTTACTTACTAAGTCCCCTGATCCTCCAAGTGCTAAACCCTAAACCCTAAACCCTTGAAAGGCTCGGAACTTTTGGCTGCTGTCCTCTTTCCTGGCGTTGCCGCTTTGTGCCATGGCAAGTGCACTTGGAGAGGCGAGGATGGAGAGGGTTTAGGGTTTAGGGTTTAGGGGAGAGGGAATTCTAGAAACACAGGGTTCCAACTCGAAGAAGGTGGTTTCTGTGCGCGTAGGCACGAACAGCGCGACAACAACAAGGATGAGGATACTTTAAATCAGAATGATGATCGTGGCGGCAGTGGTGGCGGTGGTGGTTGTGGTGGTGGCGGCAATTGTGAAAAAGGCTGCGGCTTGAGTTCACTTATCTGGCGGTCATTTTCAGCAACATCCTCGTTTGTAAGAACTTTGTGAATTTCTTCCAGAAGTAATGACCGTAAGTCTGACGATGATGATGATGATCTGATGTCAACGATGTTGATGATGATGTTGATGATGATGATGGTGATGATGTCAATCATGTCGATGATGATGATGATGATGTGCAGGAGGGGAAGATGGTGATGATGATGGTGATGATGATGATGATGAAGAAGATCTGTTGATGATGGTGGTGATGATGATGGCAACGGTGTCCACAATGCTCGTAATCATGACCATGCTGGCTACTGGTGCTGCTGTTGATCCTACTGCTACCGCTGCTGTCACTTACTAGGCACTACATACTGCTACTACGACTACTACTACTACTACTACTACTACTACGGCGACTACTACGACTACTACTAAACTACTACTACTACTACTACTACTACTACTACTACTACTACTACTACTACTACCACTACTATTTCTACTGCTACTGCTAGTGCTACTGCTACTACTGCTACTACTACCGATATCACTACCAATATCACTTCCACTACTACTGCTGCTACTACTACTACTACTACTACGACGATGACGACGACGACGATGACGACGACTACTACTACTACTACTACTACTACTACTACGACCACTACCACTAGCACTACCACACCACGACCACGACGGCGACGACAACTACTCCTTGTACCACAGCGACGACTCAGCGCTCAGTTAATCGCCACCATGTTTCGTTCTCGCGGCGTACTTGGGTTTGGATTTGGATGAACACGGCACGGCTAAGTTTGCAAGATAGGTCCTTACAGCAGCTAATTGCATGGCCGCGCGTCCTTCTCTACGGCTCGTTACGTGCACTTTGACTCTTCGCACCTACATATCTTGACCAAGCCCTGCAGGATAAGTTTCAACCAGGGCATTGTTGCTACCACATGTCGGCAACATGGATCAGGTTTTGAGTAAGCTTGTTCGCGGGATCACACCACTTTGGGTACCATATGATCTCAGTTTTATCGAACTGAGTCGTTGGATTGGCCATTGGTCTTGAGGGGGCTGGCTTCATGGAGGTGTTCGCTTTCACACATACTTGGAGGGTCATGAGACTTAGTAAGTAAGGTTATAAGTCCCCTAATTAATTGGGGTTATAAGTATAGTTACCTTAGTTATAACCCTACTAAGTCCCATGATCCTTTAAGTAATCCTAATTAGAGATCCGAGAGGTGTTGGCCTCCTTTTCCGTCGCGAAAGGCCACCTGCTGTGCCGAAGAAGCCCTGTGACATAATATGAAGTAAGTGTTTTCGTGCCCTACAATGCCTTAATCCTTTGCACGGAGCCGGTAACTCATGCATAGATAACAGGCTTTACAGAATAGGTAGCTGGGTCAAGCTCGGTCCTGGGTCCGTGGCTGTAAATGGACAACAGAGTTTGCGGATTTTGTGGGCGGGGTGTTGGGTGAAGGGCCAGGGTAAGGTAGAGTTCGGTTTCCGACCTTTGGATTATGGTGTTTTATCTTAAGTCTTTGGGGTTTAGGGTTTTTAAGTTCGTTCAGTGAGCTGAGAGGGCCGGGGGTATCAAGAGGGAGAGCGAGGTAAGCACTCCGGACGTTGCACAGCAGTATGCTCCCTGTGGTCATAGCAAGCGAACCCTAAACCCAAAACCCTAAATCCAAAGCCCTAAACCCTAAGCCCTAAACCCAAAACCCTAAACCCTAAGCCCTAAACCCTAAGCCCTACCTGGACCCTAAAGAACCTCCCTTTATAGGGTTCCTTATTATGATTTCCTTATATAAGTCCTTAAGAAGGTACGTTCTTCAGGGTCCGGGTAAGCCCTAAAGGCTGCCTTCCGAATGGAGTTGGCTCAACATGTCTGATCCATCGAAGCCGGATCCGCCCTTTGCCGGGCAATGAGCCGCCCGACTGGAGCTACGCTCTGTGGGCCTTTTTTCAGTGGGCCTACAGGATTCCCTTAATGGGATCCATATAAGTTTAGGGTTTAGGGTGTACTTAAAGATCATGGGGCTTAGTAAGTAGGGTTATGGCTATATGGTAACTATACTTATAACCCCAATTAGGGGACTTATAACCTCACGTACTAAGTCCCATGATCCTCCAAGTACTGCAATCGCTTCAGTTTCCTTCCGTGGAGATGGTTTGTATGGCATGACAGAAACTGGAGGTGCAGCCAGCAAAGTGGCATCATGCAACAGCAGGCAACCTTGACCCCTACGGGACTGCCTGGCCACATGTAATATCCTCTTCTCGACCTATGCAGCGCTGTATCGTCAGTGTACCGAAGCTTGGTCACATTGCAGAGGGAGGGCGCCTGGCTACAAGTATCTCCGGGGCAAGCACGCCTATGCCGTAGGTTCATGTGCCGCCCGCACAACACTATAGGCTTCAGGAACTGAACTGCACAAACAGTTGACGAGCTGTAGGAACGTTGACTTTAAAAAAAACATGGCAAGCTCGCATCACTCCAAGTTCAGTGCATGCCTGGTTATACCGACATTGTTGACCAAATCGGCAACTCTCCAGCGAATAATACAAAGGTCCTGGCTGGTCGCCATCGCCTGTGCCAGATAGCCGCGATGCTGCGTGTCAGGATGCTCACAGGGGAGGTGGTGGCGAGCATACTTGTCATGGAGCTGAGCGATGTGATGACACTTAAGCAGCAGCTTCATCGGCAGCACAGCTTGCCCACACGGTTCAGGCAGAGATTGTTTCATGGAGGCAAACCCTTACCCCTAAACCCTAAACCCTAAACCCTACACCGGTTCAGGCAGAGATTGCTTCATGGAGGCAAACCCTTACAGGATGATGCCAAGTTGGACTCGCCTCTCGACCTGGATCTGGTTTTACTTACCTTTGAAGACTCGCAGACCCGAGCCGACGAGTTGGTGACTGCCGCCGAGAAGGGCGTCGCAGCCGAGGTTCGGGAAGCCTTGAAACCCAAGCTGTTAGAGTAAGCTAGGGGCATCCCCATAAGTTGGGTCGACTTGCTTGGCAAGCCCACTTGGAGATCCTACAGGTTGAAGTCTTGCTTCAGCTGCCACTGAACCCAGACTTGACCGCACACGGCACCAGCCCGCTGGCGAAAGCCTCCCTTGGAAATCACGTTGAGGTTGCGCGCTTGCTTCTGGAGGCCGGTGCCAGCGTGGACTTCACAGGAAACGACGGCCTCACCGCCTTGATGCACGCTTGTTCAGAGGGCAGCGTTGAAGTTGCGCGTGTGCTGCTGGAGGCTGGCGCTAGCAAAGACTTTGCCGTCCCCGACGGCTTCATGAGCCAAGGTTACACGGCCTTGATGCTCGCCTCTTCAAACGGCCACATTGAAGTCGTTCGATTGCTCCTGGAGGCCGGTGCTAACAAAGACTTTGCACGCATTGACGGCCGGCACTGCCTTCATTCTCGCTTGTCGAGAGGGCAACGTTGAAGTTGTTCGCTTGCTTCTGAATGCCGGTGTCGACAAGGACTTAGCAGACAACCACGGTATGACTGCCTTGATGATCGCCTCCTCAAACGGGTACATTGAAGTCGTTCGATTGCTTCTGGAAGCCGGTACAAACATGGACTCAGCCAACCAGTACGGCTCCACGGCCTTGGCGCTCGCTGCCAAAAACGACCAGGTTGAAGTCGTGCATTTGCTGCTGGACAGCGGGGTCGACAAGGATCTCAGCATTCATGGTTGCACTGCCTTGATGGAAGCTTTTGACGCGGGCCATATTGAAGTCATGCGATTGCTTTTGGAGGCTGGTGCCGACAAGGACTTTGTCAACAACCACGGTTTTACTGCCTTGATAAGCAGGGCCGCGTTGAAGTTGCGCATATGCTGCTGGAGGCCGGCGCCGACAAAGACATTGCCAATATTATTGACGGCTTCACTGCCTTGATGCTCGCTTGTCGAGAGGGCCACGTTGAAATTGTGCGCTTGCTTCTGGAGGCCGGTGTCAACAAGGACTTAGCAAACCTTGACGGCTTCACTGCCTTGATGCTCGCTTGTCGAGAGGGCCACTTTGAAATTGTGCGCTTGCTTCTGGAGGCCGGTGTCAACAAGGACTTAGCAAACCTTGACGGCTTCACTGCCTTGATGCTCGCCTGTAGAGAGGGCCGCGTTGAAATTATGCGCTTGCTTGTGGAGGCCGGTGTGAACAAGGACTTAGCAAATCTTGACGGCTTCACTGCCTTGATGATTGCTACTGAATACGACCACCTTGAAGTCGTGCGTTTGCTGCTGGACAGCGGTGCCGACAAGGATGTCTTCACTCAAGACTACAATGCCTTGATGCTCGCTGTTGACATTGACCGCATTGAAGTTGTGTGTTTGCTTCTGGAGGCCGGCGCCAACAAGGACGTGGCCGACAACAACGGTGTCGCTGCCTTGATGCTTGCTTGCCGAGAGGGCAACGTTGAAGCTGCGCGCCGGTGCCAACAAGGACTTAGCAAACCTTGACGGCTTCACTGCCTTGATGCTCGCTTGTCGAGACGGCCACGTTGAGGTTGAAGGTTTGCTGCTGGAGCCGATTGCGACCAAGGTGTAGCCAACACTGGACAACGTTGAAGTTGCGTGGACCTCGGAAAACATGTTGCACAAAAACGCTTCCATGACACTCCTTCATGCACAAATACCATCAGGCACCTGGACCCCGAAGCCATAATACCTGCTGAAGATTTTCCTCCTGGAATCACTAAACCCCGGCACGACATCTGATTGAAATTTGGAGGGTCGCAAACCGATAGCATTAAATCCTAATCTTTACCTAAACCTTAAACCGCAATTAACCCTGAACCCTCCTCCTCGATTCAGGCGTTTGCTGCGCTCGAGAAAGTGCTGAACTCCTGGAGCCTATACTCCCCCCCCCCCAAGGCATTGAGACTTTACGTCGTAACTTTACGTACTAACGCAACTATCGAAGAACCCCAAACACCTTGCCCTGCCGCAGCCCTCACAATCTGAAGCCTGATCTTGAAAAGGTTTAGAGTTTAGGGTTTAGGGTTTAGGGTTCAGGGTTTAGGGTTTAGGGTTTAGGCTCACGACAGTAATTATCCCTGCATCTGTCGGTTCGTGCCTAGGACGGCCTCGACCCAAAGCCCTGAAGCCGATATCCTAAAACCCCACATCTCTAGACGAGAAACCCTGTGCCCATAAATCACAAACCTACAACCGTGCTGGGTTTGGCCAGCTTCAGCAACAACGGAGCACAAAGTCAATGTCAAGACGGTTTATGCTTAGGGTTCAGGGCTTTGGGGGCAGAAGTTGATCGGCAGTCGCATGTTCAGGACTTTAAAGGGGCTTTCAATATGGTTTAGTGTGTGCATATCTTCGTTTGCAGCTATCTTGCTGTGAGGATCATGGGACTTAGTAAGTAAGCTTATAAGTACCCTTACTTGTGTTATAAGTAGCTAAAAGTACAGTTACCTTAATTATAACCCTACTTACTAAGTCCCATGAACCTTTAAGTAAACCTTAAATCCCTTAACCCCCCCTAAACCCTAAACCGTATAAACCCTAAACCCCAATTAAGGGACTTATAACCCTACTTACTAAGTCCCATGACCCTTTAAGTGCTCTTTTCGCAGGATACGTCCCCCTGTTTGAGAAGGCCTGGGTGCGGCTGTCTGTGGCATGTTCACTTCTGCCCAGAGTGCTTGCAAGGCGGTTTAGGGTTTAGGGTTTAGGGTTTAGGGTTTAAGGTTTAGGGTTTAGGGTTCAGGCTTGTCTCGACTTGGTGTTCGGGTTGGGATCAGAAAGGTGGCTAAAGGTGTGAAAGTACTACTACTTACTCCTTTGTGAGCCTATGAGAACAGCCGCAGTCCCAACGTAGCGAGAAGGATCGGTGCGGAATTGGGGACATCAGTTCCAAGCAAAGTGCGGTGGAACTACCCATAGGCCCTCAAGTAGTTCCTTTTTGGGGTTCATGTATAGAAACCTATAAGGTAACCCCACAAAGGAACTATATACTATGGGGCCTATGGGTACTTAGAGGATCATGGGACTTAGTAAGTAGGGTTCTAACTAAGGTAACTATACTTATAACCCCAATTAGGGAACTTTTTGTAGTCTTGATGGAACCTTCAGTCGTTGCCTGTACGTATAGTTTCCACACGCGAAAGTAACATGTTGGCGGCTCTGAAGCTGCATTCGTATGTTTGTCCCTGCATTTTTGTTTTTGGGTTTAGGGTTTAGGGTGGGGGGTAATACATGAAGCCCCGACTATTGGTCACATAAATAGTCAATAGTCTGCATTTGCCTCCTGTTTGAAGCTGAAGCTCATGTGTGGCCAGATGGGCTGAATCTCATACGGCTGATGATATAAATCCT